ATACTTAGAGGGATAGATGGACAAATAGATTGACGAATGGATAAGTGGATGGGTAGGTAGGTAGGTAGGTAGGTAGGTAGGTAGGTAGGTAGGTAGGTAGGTAGGTAGGTAGGGCAGGCGTCTACTTAATTATATAGTTAGCTGCTTTAGTCAGTTAGTTAGTTCACACAGTTTGATATTTCGCGGCAGTGTGCGCAATTTGCTCCTTCGCACGCGCATCGAATCGTTGTGCTGCGCACAAAAGACTATAGACTTTCAGAGAGGTAGCGTAAAGGTTCTTGTTTCTTTATGACTTCATACCAAGAGGGTCCACATATAGTACTATTATGGAATTAGGTCCCCAAAACCATACTAGGGATGGTCTTTTGGGACCTAATTCTATAATGGTAGTGTATATGGACCCTCTGGGATAGGTTCACAGGATTACACGGTGTTGTGAAGGACTTGCAGAACGATAACAGAGCCACTCCTGATGCAACCATGCTGACGTTCACGCGCTCACATGCCACAACAGTCCCGTCGCCAGAAAACGAGCTGCGTCTCAGTTTGGGAAACTGACACCTCTGACCTGTAACATTGGTTCGGCGAAGTTCAGGCTTGTCGAGGGATAGAGGCAGGCAGCAGCAAAAACAGGCAATAAGGATCGGCTTCAACTGCGACGTGGGGCCCCACTACAGCGTCTCGAGATCACCATCACCGCCGCCCATCACCGACACCGCCAGAACACCAACTGCGGCCCTGGTATCACACCACACACAGCCACCATGATAACCTCAAGGAGGAACACGATTACCATAATTGACGCCGACACCACTCACCACCAGCAAGACAAGCCAAGATCGCCATGTTCGTCCTCCGCCTCCGCCACATCTTCAGAACCATGAGGACCATGATCGCAACCACCACCGATGTTTAGGGTTTAGGGTTAAGGGTTTAGGGTTTACGGTTTAGACCAGTCTGAAACCTTCAAAATCTCAAACTCCAGACTCCCAAGACTGAAACCGGAGCGCGCCTCGGAGACAAACGAACATAGCCTTCGCCTATGAAAGCCGGCGAGGTCGGAGCATTCGGTTTTTGAAGTGTATTGCATTCAAGCTCGTAAACCCTAAACCCCAAACCCCGAATTTCGGGGTTTAGGGTTGATGGTTTATGAGCTGATTTAGGGTGTAGGGTTCTTGGGCTTACAGGGTTCAGGGTTTAGGGTTAGGGTTGGGTTTAGGGCTGGGGAGCTGGGGATCGTTGGGTTCCGTTAGAGTCCGTTTTTTTTTCCAACTGCTGTCGGTAGAAAGACGTTCGGGATTTAAGGCTTTGGGGTTAGATCGCTGTGGGGTTAGATCGCTGTCTGGCTCGAAGGCTGTAGCAGGTGTAGGTGGGTTCAGGGTTCATGGGTTCACAACAGATCCTAAACCCTAAACCCTAAACCTGCAGTTCTATAGGGCTTAAGGCCGAGGTTTTAGACTGCAGCTTCAGCAAAAGCGATGGCAAAACAAACTTGAGTTCACGTTTTCGGGTATGGGCACGGGACTTGCAAAGGCACGTGCTCAGATGAAGGTGTTGATAAGTTGAGAAGTACCCAAAACCCTAAATCCGAAGCCCTAAGCCCTAAGATCTGTTCAAATAGCCTCTAGTCAGAGTTGACTAGGATTTAGGGTTTAGGGTTGTCTTGATCCCCTAAACCCTAAACCCTGAACCTAATAAACCCTGAATCTTAAACCGCTTTAACTCCGTGCATGCGCGGCCAGCACCGCCAAGGCAGAAACGTCTGCGTAGTTGTTTGCAGCTCCAGGCTCGGATGGAATCATCCAGGACCCCCCAAGGGCCCCGTCATAGAGCCACTATGGTCCTTAATTGTGGGTATTTAGGCTATATTAGAGGGTAGTTGGGGGGTCTAGGATGCAACTTGAGAGCTACTGTTGATAGTATACCTGGGGATCCAAAGCCTACTGTTTTACGGGGTTCTACACTTTAATTAAGGGGTCATAACCTACTATGTTGTAGGGTTTGGGGTCACAGGTAAGTCCTGCATTACCTTTAAGGACCCGAAACTATGGGAATTGTGGTATACTCCTTATTCCGGGTAATGCAGGATTTATATCAGCAACCGTGGGAAGTACCCGGCCAATAGCCGAACCTTCAAGTTAGCTGCCGCAATCAGACCCGTATCGACCCCTAAACCCTATAAGCCATAATCCCTAAACCTCCTTAAAGCGTGGACCGTGAAGCCCCCAACCCTAAAACCCTAAACCCTAAACCCCCCCACCCAACCGTGAACCCTAAATCCTAAACCCTAAACCCTAAACCACTACACCCTAAACCCTAAACCCTAAACCCCTAACCTGAAACAACCCCAAAACCCAGAGAATCCTGACCTTCTCAACAAAGACGTGCACTGCAAGCTCATCTCCCGGGTGGACGGACATGCGAATGTTGACCTTCCCAAAGGGTCCAAGTTGTAGTATAGTATATACTTTGGGGGTCCAAATACTTACAAGGTAGCTACCATATTAGTACTTGGACCCTTTGGGCTTCAGATTTCAGGCAGTGCGTGACAGTGGTTTCTGGTGCCAGGCAAGTCTGAAGTATGCAAAGCCTGCGCAAGCTAAAAGCCACCGGCTTTTTGGAACTGCTGCCACTAGGATTATTTCGCTTGGTTCATAGGAAAAGACGTGTTTCTATAGATGAAAACTTGACATCTAACTATACGCTGAGCTTGGGATGCAACCCGAGACCTGACTTGCTCAGGGCGAAGCTACTTGGAGGTTCATGGGTAGTTATAAGTGGGGTTATAAGTCCCCTAATAGGGTTATAAGTATAGTTACCCTACTTATAACCCTACTTATAACTACCTAGAACCTCCAAGTAGACACCTAGTCAGCACTACCTCCTTCAACAGGGGTTTCCTTCAACAGCGTGTGACTTCTAAGTATGTATTCGCACTCATACAGCCCATGTATGTACATACCTACAGAGTTATCTACTTATCTGCTTTTTATTTACTTGCTGACAGAAATGTATCTGTATTTACACACGTAGACTCCAGTGGTCAGGAGAACGATGTCAGACAAATGGTGGTAGATGGTCGTAGCCACAATGGGACAGATTCCTACCTGCTCAATTGAACACACCTTAGTTTCCGGAATTCGGCCTCCCAAATGCGCATCGCAAACGTTGCATTTCATGCTCGCGGTGGGGAAGATACATCAACGCGGTGTAGCTTTGGGATCACTATAACCCTAAACCCTAAACCCTTCAACTTCGAAAATTATGAGATATCTTGCTCTCAAACGAGTTGCTGTCAATCGAGTTGCTCTCAATCGAGGAAAAGGAGGCACAGGGATGCAGTACTGTACTGATTGTAGCAGACGCGCTACGGGTAAGGCACTACACAAGCTTGGCTGTGCAGCTCGTGCTATGTTTGCAGGATTCTGTAGGGACTCTCGAGATTCTAAGTCACAAACCCGGCTTAGGGTTTCGGATTTAGGATTTGGGGTGTAAGGGCTTATAAGGTTTCGGAATTAAGGGTTTGGGGCTTAAGGGCTTAAGGTTTCGGATTTAAGGGTTTGGGGCTTAAGGGTTTAAGGTTCACGGCTTAAGGGCTTAGGTTAAGGGTTTAGGGCTTAAGGAGGCCACATAGGTTTCGTTCCTCATGGTATACAGACATAGTCCGTCAGCGCGCCGACATCAGGCTAGCAGCATAGCCGGGCCGATAGAACGCAACAAAGAAGCCTTATAAGCGCAAGAAAAACCATTTGTAAAGCTCTTGTACGAAACCTTCTGAGATCGCCGGCATAGAAGGCCCGCGCATCGCGCTGCGGGTAGCAGGACTCCATCATGGACGGCACGCGCCCCTTGCAAGGTTCGAGGGTTCAGAGGGTTCAACTGGCATTTAAAGGGGTTCAAGTCCTGGAGATTTTAGACTAGATGTTATTGGACTCAGCTGCACATTTCACAGAGTGTACTATTCACCTTCTGTCTGCCAGGCCCGCATATGGAGGCTTCTAAACATGTAACAGACTGGGGGCACATACTTTAGGGGTCCTCACAACCAGGGTCTTACGATTTCCCACTTTCAGAAAAGAACGAACCCCAATATAGAACCCTAAATTGATGCCTATGACAAGGACTCTTAATTCAAGACGCGCCTCAAAGCTAAACAAAACACTACACTCCTTAAAGGACCCTATGACACCCTGCAACACACATATGAACCCCAAAATTTCAAAAAACAACAGATGTGCGGCTCTGAAAAAGCACTCGTTTCGTGGAAGCTTCCACCCGTGGAGAACCCTAAACCCTGAACCCTAAAACCTAAAAGCCCTAAAAGTTATTCACGTCTCATGCGCCCGCATGTTGAAAGGGTCTAAGGCTCAGGGCTAGGTTGTAGGGTAGGGCCTACTGTTGATGCTATAAATCCTGCATTACCTGAAGGGACCTAACTTATGGGAATTATGGTATATTCCTTATTATGGGGAATACAGGATTTATATCATCAACTGTAGAGTAGGCGTTAAGTTTAAGGTTTGGGGCTCGGTAGGATTTACTGCTACTATCCCCATATTCGTCAATACCCGTGTCTAAGCCCTACTTCACGCAAACCAAGCTCGGATGTACGAGTTGTGTCTTCGGTACAGCTGACGGCCGAACCCCCTGAACGCTGAACACCAAGCCCCAAATCCTATAAACCCTACAGACCTTGAACCGCCCCTAAACCCTAAACCCCTAACCACCGGGACAGAACTTAACCCTACATCCTACGGCCTCAAACGGTGATGGGTTGCCCGGCCTGAAAGAGCACGTTGTACATGTCACAGTCCGTAGATCTGACCACATAGCTCGCCTTCAGGAAGCCCGGAGTATCAGGGGACTTTAAGTTTAGGTCTTAGGGGTTTAGGTTTGGGGGCTTGCACGCCAGGCGTGCGGCTACGCGATGCCCGTGCAAACAGCATGGAATCATTGATGTGGAACTGCTGGTGTTGGTTGATGTGTCCTGTTCTCGGCTGGTTGCTCGACTCAGCAACTTTCGGAGGTCTGGTCTCATCCCGCAATCGGTCGGCTTTGCTAAGGTTTCAAAAAGAAATATTTACTTCGTGCGTACACACAATTCGTGCGGATGCTTGCTGCTGATTTGCACTGTCTTTGATGTGCGCAGCCCAGCACATGCACAGCGTACACGTTACCAGCGCATCACATCGACTGGCGATCCCACGCAAAAGAGGTGTGTCGCTCACACCATGTCACATATGTCGGAAATACGCTTCCAACTCCAACTCACAAGACCAAATCTCAGATCATGTTCCAAACACCGAAGAAACCCGATGGCTCTAACAGCGGTATAACAGTGTAACTCTTCGCTTTAACAGCACCCTTGATGAACTCTGAAGCCCACGAGGCTCCGAATCTTTGCACGCCGGAACTCCGACATTCTGACCTGCCTTCAAGTATTTCTCTGGTGTGAAAGGGGCGCCCGCTTTCCTTGCACAGGCTTGTTGCAGCTTGAATCGGTTTTGGGTTGAAGGCTCTGGGAGCTGATGTTTGCTGGAGCGTAAACCAAGACTGGACACAGAACGGGTGACCAAGTGTTCGTGGTCTGTTGCCTGTGGGAAGAAATGTGGTTGACCATGGCGAAGCGGAGAACGATACGCTCCCCCGCACATGTCGCCCCGATCCCTTTTAACATCTTCCACACTTTGGGGTTTTGTTGTGTTGATGACTGGGCGGGTGGGGCTTCGATGTGCAGTTTCGATTCAAGGTGCAAAGCGTGTCATCAAAGTTCAGGAGACATATACCTTGTGATACGATGCCAGTCTCGGTCTGAACATCAATGTAGTTGGACATATATATATATATATCCACAGCGCGTCAGTATCTCGGGCCTATTTTAATTATTCAGAAGCCATACGGGCCCTGGGCCCACGTACTGTTTTACTCTCTTGCCGCAACGGATTACAAAGACTTCCACAAAGTAACCTGAGGGACGATGCGGGTTTTTATATACGTCCTGCACGAAACAAGCAAGTGAACCTTGAGCGAAGTTGCATTCATGCCCCGTTAGTCTTACACATGCATAAGCCCTCTAAACCCTCAAGCACTAAAGGACCCGAGCTCTCAAACCGTACAGTACTATATTCACCAACCCTAACACCCCAACCGACGAACCTGTTAATGGCTCGTCACGCGAATGCCCCCCGAAGCTTGATGCAAGCCTTTCCCGAACCTGCAGGGCTTGTACGGCATGCTCTAACGGATTGATTCTTTTTACCGGCTATAAGGTTTTGTAATTCTCGGGTTTGAGGTTTTAAGCTGAATGACAGGGTCACTAAAGTGTCATATTTAGAACTTTTGGGCTTCAGGTTTAGGAGTTGATGCTTGCGACTATGCTTTCGTAGTGTTTAGAGTTCACTGCCACCGTGCTATATCCCAACTAAAGTAACCGCATCCCGCCCAACCGAGCCACATGGGGAGCAGAATGCACCACATTTGACCATCGGTTTCTTGTGTAATGTGAGAACAACTAGGCACATTACAGCAAGCTGAAACCTTGGTGCAGCCTTCGTTGAATATGACAAATATTCCTTCAGGTAAAAGGTAACGTCAGGCACATCGTTCGCGTTCGCACATGTTGTGTGAGCGCAAGATATGCATCAGGTTTTGGATGCTGTTCCAGATGTGGGTCAAGCTGGCACAGAGGCGGCTGCAGGGAGCTGGGCCCTCAGCCAAGCACATGACACCGAGGTGTTGGGTGTGAACTTTTGATTCTGCAGATCAGCTCTGGACATCCCTTTGCAATCGAAGCAATGAAGACGCCACCTCAGTCCCGCGGCTACGAACCCAGCCTTCCCCTGTGGCGTTGGCACGCTGGGGCCCTTTGTCTTGCTGCTGCTGTTTGCCGCACTGTCCTCCTTCTCGCTTTCGCTTCCGCTTCCCGCCAGCAGCGGCGAGCCTGACGAGAAT